GGCCGGGCAGCCATTTTGTTTGGAATGTCCAATATTTATGCCGTACCTTCAAATATATTATATTTGTATTTCATGATGAATACTGTTTTGATGCATTATAAGAGCTGCCAAAATGATTAAAAAAGAAACATCCCCTAATTTAACAGACAAACATAACCATAAAAATACAATAAACTCCAAAACGAAATTAAATTAAATAAAGAAAATAAAAGTAGAAGTTGCTTTATTGCGATGCCTGTTGTGGTAATAGCCGTTTTTTTGATACCAACTTTGAATATTTTATTTTTCGTTTGTTTTTATTTTACTTTAAATAAATATAAAAAACTAATTTTTTAGAAATTCATTTTAATCTGATATTGTCGCACAAGCCAACCCTGCGCTTTGTTTACTCCTTGCCCGCAGTATGAAGTCTAGCGCTGGCAATATAGAGACAGATGCACCGCTTTTCGAAACTACCAGAAAAAGCGTTACATAGCCTTTGAGTCATAGAGATGGAATTTTTGGACATTCGAGATCGTCTAGAAACTACCAGTACAGAACTGGCTTTATATAAATAGGGAAGGCTGTCTACGGACGGGCAGATTGATTTTAAGTGTTTGACAGAAAATATAAATTGTAATAAATAAATTAGAATTGTGAGTTATAATAGTGCCTATAAATTAACTAGTTTGTAAATAAAATAATTTAATTAAATAAACTATAAATAAATTAAACAAACCTTACAATATCTTTGCGGATATTATATTCACATAAAGCACAATACCGCTTTCGCTAATACTATGTTCTTTTTCATACATATCTCAAGTAAGTTGTTACAGGTTTTACTGCACTGATAATAAATTCTATAATGTAATTTTTTACTGTGATTAAGTTCAAAATTGGCGATGTAACGTGGATCCTATTAATTAAACAATGCAAGAAAATTCAGAAGTAGTTTGACATGTTTTAGGTCCAAAATCTACTTTAAGTGATAATAAGATAAAAAATGTTAGATAATTCAAGAACTTAATCGAGCGCCACCAAGTTATAAGAAAACTAACTGGATTTAAATCCACTGGGTATCGAGTCTGTCTCTGGTGACTTATAGTCGTAGTAACCTGATAGGGTTTTAAGTAAATAAAAGCAGATAATTAAAATTATCACATATACAGAATAGAATGAAAGGCAAATATATGAAATGTTCATGAATTTAGTTTTTTTTTTTAAATGCACAATTTTATGATTTTACAAGTTTTTCACCAATATATTCGTTGTACTTCTCATGAGTTTCGATAGTCTCTCGATGTCCTTCGATGGGTCACTTGTAACTAGCTCAAACTCTGGTGCTTATTGGAGCTAATAGAGATACTGCCTTGTCCTTGGAGTTGGGCCTTGGAGATATTACTCGGTAATTTGAGGTATTGCTTGATTCCTGTAGCTACTACTCGTTTCTTCGAACTACCATGCAAAAAATTTAGAATTACTGGTTAAAAAACCGAGGGTCTTTGAGGTTGATGATACATACCATTGTATGCTCAATAAAGGTTAACTTACTGTCAAAAATAATTCCCAAGTCTTTAAAACTAGTACATCTTATCAAGTTGGTGCCATTAATGTGGTAGTCAAAAATTACCGGTTGTTTTCTACGAGTAAATGATATACAATTAGATTTTTTAATATTTAATGGCAGCAAGTTATGTTCACACCAATTGTACAATGTCACTAGGTTGTCTTGAAGACTAATGGAATCATTGATGAAATTTATTTTTCTGTAAAGTTTACAATCATCAGCATATAAAATAATATGACAATTCAATTTGAGGCAGATGTCATTTATAAAGATTATATATAACAATGGCCCAAGGACTGACCCCTGAGGAACACCAGATACTACAGTTATCTCGGTAGAATTGTTACCATAGTACTCAACTCCTAAGATCCTCCTATAGATAAGAATTAAAAAATTAAATTAAATCTATTGTTAAGCTATACTGTGAAAGTTTCTTAAGAAGAATACCATGGTCTAGTCTATCAAATACTTTGGAAAAATCAGTATAAATGACATCAACCTGACCAGAACCATCTAATTCCTCAGAGATAAACTGTGAAATATTAAACAAGTTAGTAACCGTAGATCTGCCTGAAACAAATCTATGTTGATCCTCCACAATTTGTGAGTTAACAGGCGATGATAAAAACTCGGAAATAATTATTTCAAATACTTTACTGAAATTGCATAAGATAGCAATGGGTCTGTAGTTTTCTGTTATCTCTCATCTTTTTTAAATATCGGGCATATCTTAGCTTGCTTTCAAATTTTAGGAAAAGAACAAGATTTTAAAGCAACATTAAAAATTTTGGTAATAGTTTGGACGGAACTAATTGCATAATCTTTTAAAATGAATGAGGGAATGCCATCTGGTCCAGTGGTCATTTTAGATTTCAAACAGTTTACTTTTTATAAGACAGTATCCTTGCATACATAGGGGATTGACAAAGTACAATAGGTACATTATTAGGTTCTTGAAAATCATCACAATTGTCGAAAGTTGTTCAGCTAATAAAGGCAGATTGGAAAAAATTTGCAAAGAAATTAATTATGTCTACAGAATGTGACATGTAAACACCTTGAAAACTCATTAATTTTGGTAGACTTGATTCATTACGTAAGGTATTTAAGTAATAGCAAAATTGATTATGATTATCAGATAAATTTCTCTCAACATTTTTACAAAATTAGATCGTATTTTCTTTTTTACCTCTCTGTCAATTGTTTTAAATTGCTCATAAAAAGTTACGTTCCCGGTTAATTTATATTTTCGATAGATTTTATTTTTTTAATTTAATTTCCTGAATATATTTCCTGAAAACCGTGCTGGATATGAAGAGTTTTTGATAATTTCTTTAGGAACATGTTCTGAAAATATTTACAGATGCTCACACGCATTATCAACATTTTTTTGCAATATCAAGGAATTACCAATCTACTTTCAGTAGCTCACTATACAATCTCGGAAAATCTGCTTTGCGAAAATTATAAGATGTAGATGATTGTTTCAGGAATTTTTTGTTTGTAGAACAGATTTTAGTTGGGTCTGAAGACCTAGATATATCTAATTTAGTTCTGCTCATTACCAGATCTAAAACACGGTTATTGTTGTTTAGAACAAAGTTATGTTGTTCTACGCCTAGAAATTTCATGAAGTTAATGAAGGACGCTATAAGTCCTGGATAAGTCGATTGATTGTAGTAAGTTTATTATTAAAATCACCCATAATTAAGTCGCCACCGTCACATAAGCAAGGAATATTACAGTGTATCAAATATAATTTCGCAGAATTTTACTGATAATTTAGGTGATATTTAAATAGTAATGATAGAAACAGATGACTTTTCATTAAACAATGACTCAAATTATATCTACGTTGGGTGCAATGTGAGGTATACAGGATACATCTATTTGACAAGATTTAAAGCAAGATTTTACAGCAAGCAAGACACCACCGCTCTTTGCTGCATTAGTAATTTCAAAATTACGATCCTTTCTATAGAGAACATATTTTGTATTAACAATTTCACTATCATAAATATCAGGGCTTAGCGAAGTTTCACTTAAAAAAAAAATATGGCAATCATCTGCCGAAATAAATAAAATTAATATATAAAATACTATATTCCATTACGCGTCCAAAAAATAGTATTTTTTCCGTATGCGTATAATATGTTGTAATGTGAGGCGTAGCCGAATGGTGAAACTAATGATGTCTGACTTTTTAGAACTTTTCTCATATTAGGAACATATTTTCTTTTATTTTCGTATGGGATTTGATTAAGTTTAAACATCTATAGCAAAAGTCTTTCACCGTGATCTGATCATTGTTATCAATTAAAGTACATAGATTTGAAAGAATATTACGAATGTCAATATTAACAAGATATATTTGTAATTTTAAAAAACCGACTTCAAAATCGTGTTGATGCCATCACCACATCTTGACCAATTTTATAGGGGACCAACTCTGAGGTACCCCTTTACTAACAAAAAAGAATCATAGAAATCGGACAAGGTAGTAAAGAATTACCGTTAAACATACATGAAAAATGAAGAATTTGAGGATTTTCTATTCGACCCAATTATTATATTTCGACCAAATTTATGAGAAGCCACTCCTGAAGAAGAAGAAGAAGAAGAAGAAGAAGAAAAAGAAGAAGAAGAAGAATCATTGAAATTGGATACCGTGTTAAAGAATTACGACGAATTGATAACCTTCTTCTTTTTTGTCAGTTAATAAAAGAACTTGCCAACAGTTGTAAACTTTTGAAAGGAAAATGGGCAGAAATGTATAGAAAAATGCCCACGCCCAATAAGAATAAGTTATATAAGAAAACTTATGTCAGAACCCACTTGTAAAAGAACTTCCAGAATTAATACAGACGGCTTTCAACAACAACAAAAGAACCTGTGTTTTGTCACATGTACTATGATATAAGTCAAGAAGTCATAATACAAATATTCTCATTACTGACATATTTCATTTGGCACATATCTTACTCACTGACATTTAATTATAACCAAACTTTTAACAAAAACATCAATAAATTTGACATATACGTTTTTACTGTTTTTATTTTATTTCTAAATATTGTTTACAGGTCATAAAAAATAGTTTAAAGGTATGTTATTGGTAACTAAGCGATTGTATATTTGATACATGCTATCTACTTACTTTAGGAATATATTTATAAAAATGAAAAAAAACGATATAATTTAGGTAAACAAAACAAACAAAACGCACTCAAAAAAATCTACTGTCACTTTAATTGTCAGTGGAACCATAATTACATCATCACTGATCTAGCGCATTGGGGGGTGGGGCAAAATTGCCCATTGTCGTTTATTATAATAAATAATTAAATAGTGGATAAAATACGCTGGCGCCTGTAATATATTATGTGTAAAATCATGAAAAGTAGAATATTGGCTCATAATAAGGTAAACTGAACTATTCATTTTGTTTCAGCTTTGTTCAAGAATTCGTAGCTGATCCCCTAGACGGAGTAAATCTTCTACTAGATCTTCTTCGCGCCATCCAACTCAGCCAGTCGAACAACAGTCAAGTGCAGCAATGTTCGCCAGGTGGCGCCACTTCCAAACTACCACCAGCTCTTCAGCGAAGAACGTTATTGGACGAGCTGTCGTGTCTTCAATGTCTCCACAGTTGCTGCATGCGATACACAGAGGCGGTTAGAAAATTAACCTCCTACTCTGCAGGACTATTCACTTTGGCAATTTGCATAATGAGCAACGTAAATAAATCGAGGATCGTTGCTTTACAGGTAAGAAAAACCGGCAGATTTATAATGGGGAGAATATGCCACAAGGATAAAATAACCGGCTCCAAAAATGAAGAGTTTTATCATTTTATTTTATATCAGATCTTTACCAAATGCACGAGGGTGGTTTGACGAAAGAGTGACTTTTCAGAGGTTGGCAACACTTTCGCTACGGTGATTATATTGGTAGTTTCCGCCCATGTTTCTGATGTCATCTTTATAAATTTTATATAAATGTGACATATAGATTAGTTTTAATACTCATATAAAGAAAACTTTTTTGTTCCATCACGACAATGCGCATGCCCATTCGTTCGATATGGTTGCAGAAAAATTAGCCGAACTGCGTTACGATTTATTGCCTCATCCGCCTTATTCACCAGCTGATCTGGCTCCCTCCGATTACTTTCTGTTCCCAAACTTAAGAAAATGGCGAAAAAATGGTGAAAAGCGATTTCAGACAAATAAAATGGTGATGGCAGAGGCAAACGCGTATTTTGTGGAACTTCCGAAAGATTATTTATTGGATGGATTTAAAAATTTGGAAACTCGCTGGGCTAAGTATGTAGAGGTAAAATGAGTTTCTGTTGAAAAATAAAATATTTTTTTACAGTAAAATAACTTTCAAGTTACTCTTCCGTCAAACCACCCTCGTATATGGTACCACCCCTTTCTAACATAAAATAATTGGACAACGTGGTTATGAATTATCGAAACAGCGAATTCAGAACCTCCTCCTATTTTTGAGGTCGGTTAAAAGGTAGCCATCCATCATGATCCTATGTAATATTAGTATTACCTATAAACATAATATAAATTAAAAAAAAGATCTAAACAAATTCAAAGCAGCTAGTAGTTAAGTATATAAAACATATAAAAAAAATGAAATTTAAAAAAAAATAATAAAAACGTGGTAAGTGCCAACACAAAATTATTAATTTGAAGACACTAAAAGCGTCATATTTACTGTTCTGCTGCTTCTAACATCATTTTGAGCCACTTCTTATACCAGTAGGTTAGTGTAAAAAAAAATTTGCATTGGATTTGTTAGATATCATGTTTTCTGGCAAAAGTACGTATAGAGCTGCTCTTCTTAAGTCATTCAGAGTTTTCCCTTTTTTTTTTTCAAGACATTGGACTCGTTGCATGGAATAAAATCTGCAGAGGTTGTCCTTGATTTCACAACCTTCTGTCCTTCACTGAAACGTTCATTACTATTACTTTTACGAGTTTTTACATTTTGAAAACAACAAACAACAAAACTGAAACCTGTATTATTGTTAACTGACAGTAGAATGGCAAACTTAGAGCACATGGCGACTGACAGTTGTCACCTTTGTAGGGAAATAGATCAAGCACTTAACGGTGGCACCATATTGGGATGTTTATACAAAGCGTGTTATGAAGATTGGCACTTATCACTTTTTTAGGACTTAAACAGTGGTAAATAGCACCGTTCTATGATTCTAACTCGCACTTACCCCCTTTGTTACTTCCACTCTTCAATTTCAGATAACAAGTTGCTTTTTATTTTCCTTTTTCTACATTTTTATGAATCATACCTATTCAATATATTGTTGGCATAAGGCATATATAAGTAACGTGGGAAAGCCTTGGTATAACCCTTAATTTCTACAAGATTGAAATTTTTATGTTTTCAAGTCCAGAAAATGTCTGTTCGTGTGTCTGTATCTATGAATGTGAAAATTTAAGTCAACTCTTTAAAAAAAAACTGTTTAGAAAAAATTTATGTATTTTTACCAAAAAAGTGAGTGCGTTCTAAATATAATACTCGTATATGCTGATCACAATACATATGCTGATTAGGTACCTTTTGGTGGATGTCAGACCGTAGGTGATAATGACAATATATGGTTGAATATGTCGAATGTACATACAGATCTTATAGCAGATTTAAATAAAAAAATTTAAATGGTAACACTGATCGTTTTCAATTTTCTCCTTGAGACGCAAAGGTATATAACATACAGGGTGTAACAAAAAGGTAGGTCTGAAATGGAACCATATATACTGGGCTCAAAAATAACTCTATTGCACGTAACTTACCTTAATGCAAATGTGCACCCAAAAAAGTTACATCCGTTGGAAAGTACAAAAAGAAAATCTATTTTTTCCAATATTTCATGAACTGTTTAACATTTTGTAATGAAAATAGATACATGGCTTTCTTATTATAAGAGCGTCTTTTTAACATAAAACTACGAAGTCTGTACGGCACATAAAATTTTTTAGGGGGTTTTGAAAAAACAAACTTTTAGAGTTAAGTAGGCATTCTCTTTAGACCATAAATTTTACAAATGTTTAACAGAAAATTGTTGTTTAGAATGGAAGCGATTCTTAATAATAAACTGTTGGTTGGGAGACTCAAACGTTGACGACAGTGATATGAATGATGAAATTTTTTCCATAAACTTGGAAATAAATATAAATCAAGATTTTCTATGGACCAAAATCTCTACTTCTGTTCAATGCTATTTTTCAATATATTTTTCATGGAGGAAAAATAAATAATATTTTTAGTCATTATAGAAAATGACAAATAGGATTTCGTAATTTTTCTTTTCCAATCAAAAATAGGTCAAATGTTTGCGGCCTTAATGGATTTGTAGAAAAATTAATTTCTCTCACAGGGGTGATGTGTTTTGTCTACTATAATTTTTCCACTACTGTTTTTACTACTAGCCCCTCTAGTATTTTACGCAATAAGAATTTTTTTTTACAAGTTATGTACATTATTAATAGCCCATTTATTAAATAAGTATTTCAATCTCTCTTCGGTTTTTTATTTTCTATTTGTTTCTCTCTCGTTGTAAGATAATGGAAAATATTAGTCGACTAAAATCACGAGACCGTAGCTGACAACTCAATCTTTTCGTTTAGTTAAGAAATCAAGTAAATTAATTAAAGATAAGTAAATAGGCAAAGAGATCGTACAGGTAAAACTTTTTGTCGTAGTGTAGTTGAAAACTTTTTGTATTATAATTTCTTCTATTCAACTTTATATTATATTAATAATATAGTAATAGTCCATGACGGAACCGGTGTACCTAATTAGTATCTTTAATATCTTTAAATTTTCTATTGTAATTTGGTAGGGCATTAAACTTTGTAGACGGTGAGCTAGCAACCGCAAAGATAGAATGATCTTACTTCCGGTAGGAATTTTGTGAGGTGGTTGGAAGTACAATCAGGAAATGTCATATGCAAGGAATCATTTAAGAACCCCTTTAAAGACACGTCAGATAACTTGAAGTTCGTAGATAAGGTATTTAAATCGTTAGAGGGCTAGGTCACTGATAAAAGGATGTCATTTGCTTTCAAAAGACGAGGCAAGAAACTTATGCAAAAATGAGATGCATTGAAATTTTCTAAATTTTTTATATTTTTTTGTTGTCAACTTTCTCAATAATAATGTTTATGGGCTCTACTCAAACGTATAACTAGTTTTTGATATATAATGGAGCATTAGCATATGCAGATGACCTGGTCATTCTGCAAACAGGAAATTTTAAGAACATACTTTCAGAAAGAATGCAAGTAGATCTAAAAATTATAGAACAGTGGTGCAAGGACCATTCACTGTCTATCAATCCCAAGAAGACCGAAATGTTCCGTTTCATAAGGAAACGAATGAAAATGGAATTAAAACTTCCAGAACTCATTTGACAACAAGTTAACATGGAACTCGCATTTAGAAAACAGAGTCAAACGAGCATACATTGCTAATGGCCAATGCTGCCGAACCGTGGAGCGCATTTGGGGTTTCTCCTCTAAAGTCGTCGCATATGCTAACATACGGTGCAGTTGTCTGAATACCGAAAACCCGAAAATAAACAGGTATCCGTTAACTAGAACAAATTCAAAGAACAACATTTCTCAACATAACAAGAGTCATAAAAACTACACTAACCCTTACAACATATGTTCTAAGCACTAACCAGAGTCATGGATGTCATTCTGTCTCAATCACATACTTTAATCAAAGTATGTGGTCTCAATTTCTTTGATATTTACATCAATGAGGTTGCTTTGTTGACAATGACTCGCCTTCGCACGATTGGAATAGAACCTGACGTAGAATCTGGTAAGGTGAGTAAGTGTACTTTAAGAATGTCACTAAGCTTCGCTTAGTTTTTAACGACTAGCGGTGAAGAAAAGAGCCCATAATCAACATTTTCGTAATGCCGATTTTCTATATTCGATGGAGTAGTCAAAACCAGAGAGAAATTGAGCATATAGTATCATTTTTTTGGCTGTTGTAGTAGGTAATTGTTTTGGTGGATTAAAAGATGATTATTAATGGTTTATTATCTACGATGAGTTTAAACTATCTACCGTAAATATATTTAAAAAGTGTTTTAAAGGACAAGTAAATTGCTATCGAACTAAGAGAGAAAGCCCACTCACGCGACATATTGCGAGCGACCTGCCGCATACGATTTTTTAGGTGCGATTTTTAACAGACAACAAGCAGCGACACAGACGTTTAGTATCAAAATGGAGGTAAAACTAGCAACGATGTTTTATTTTGTTCGTCGGCGGAAAAAATTGAAACGACGTAGGTACTTGGTTCATCCATTATTTATAGACCCTTATCTAAAGGCGCATTTAATTTAATATATAAGGATTTACGTCAGCACGAAGATAAGTTCTTCAAATATTCCAGAATGAGAGTAGTGTCATTTGACGAACTGCTAGCGCAGATTCCCGAACAAATACAAAGACAAAATACACATTTTCGCGATATTATATGCCCGGAAGGAAAACTTTGAGGTGAGGTAAGTTTTATTAATTAATTGAAAACAACATTTAATTACAAAGGTCACAGAACTCAGAACTCTGTAAGTTGTTACTGCAACGAAATATAGGAATTAGTAGATGTAGGGTGGGTAAAGTGACCTTGTGGATTTTATGAATGTATAGATAAAGGATAGCCTACAGATAGTACGGAAGCAGCTAGGTTGTAACCTTCACTTAGTGTT